TTTTTGGAAAAAGGGCTTCGTAGCGTTAAAAAGGCGTCAAATGCCGTTTACAGATCGAAAATCGGACCATTGGTTCAGACGTTATCGGTAGAGTAAATTTTACTTATTTTGGTGCTGCCACGTGGTTGCCACAAATTGTACTAGTGTCAGGACATTTAGCCTTAAGAAACTAGTCAACTGCAGGTCTTTATGTGGTATTAAAATATTTTTATTTTCTATCTATGAAAGTAAATTAATTTGAATAATTAAATACATCTCAGCATAAGTCATTATTTTGTTTATTTAGATCTCACAATACCCACTTCTCGCAAATAAATAATTTTTAACGTGATATGGATTCTCTATCTACTAGGGAATATCTCGCCCTAACGAACTTTAAAATCCTCCCCTTAGTTACAAGTGTTGCTACAGGTGATTTATCCATTTTTAGTGATAAAAATATACGAAGCTCCGTTTAAAAAATCAAAGATAATTAAATTTCTCAAAAACAAAATATTTTATACAATATGTCTGCGGCACATTACTTGCTCCATAATTCCGCATTGTTGAAAAATGAATTTCGATATCGCAAACCGTTTAGAAGTTATGGGGATGGCCCATAGTTGGTGAGACATTCTTTATAACCGATAAGGCCTATAATTGAAAATTATTTATATCTCAGATAATTGGAAAAGTGTTTTTAGACACCACCCTTCGGATATTCTGCACTTTTTTGTAAAGTGAAATGTACGAAAGAAGCAAATAAAAATGTGACCTATACTTTTTTGTACAATATTTAAGTAAATAATACCTTTCGCATATATACCTTTGTTTTATTTATAGGTAATAATAGGAAATAGGTAAAGTTAAAAACGTTTTTTCAAAATAATAAGATATACCAACTCTTGCTTTTCGTTAATGCTAAAGTATCGGTGTTGCCCGGGTTTTAATTACAATCTATCATTAAACAATAGAAGTAAAGAATAATGTCGTTATATGAAATGGAAGTAATTTAAATTACGTTACGCCATACCTGTCCTGCTGCCTGCTTCATTGTCCTTAATGATAATCGTTGCTTGGGGCAATTGTAAAGCTTTCCAGGTTCCTATGGCAAACCTCTAGAAACTACACTGTGGCCAGAGAACTTGGAAACATGAAAAATTGGAACTTTTGAAGTTTGAAGTAAACGAAAACCTAGAATTTGGTTTGAAAACTTGTTTTCTTTGTAATTTTCAGATATATTCTCTACTATTCAGTTCGTTTAATATTGATTGGCACTCCCTTTATATTTTCTGCAAAGAAGCAGTTTGAAATGTGTGTCAAGGTATGTGTAAAGAGAGAGACTATAGTACTGTCTACCTCCACCAGAAGGTGTTGCTGTTTCCCATCGGTAGCTCATTGCACCAACAGTTGTTCCAGCTTGTCAGTCAGGGCTGTTTTAACAGCATTGGGGGACCCTATTCTTGCTTTGACGGATCTCTCTCTCTCTCTCTCTCTCTCT